ACCTCAATCTTGCCAGGCAAGCGCTCATGCCGCTGAGCTATATCCCCAGCCCATCCTGTCTCAAAATTTAAAAGGGGCATGGATGTAATCCACCGAGAAGGCCCTGGGTTCAACCCCTAGTATAAGAAGAGTTTTAAAAAAAAAGACGAGGAAACTGAGGCACAAGAGAAGTTAAACAACTCAAGTGAGTAGCAGCAGCAAATGTAAATTTCAGCAGCCTGGCTCCAGGTCAGAACTGGTGCCAATTCAGGATGCGTTATGAATGTGACTCAAGGTACGTCTTCAATCCCCACTGGACTCATTTTCCTGTAAAATGGGTACAATGATCTCTTTCCCGTAGGCGTACAGAGGATTGAGATAAATATGACAGTGTATATAAAAATTGTTGAAATCCTCCTCCTGCCTAGCAGGCACTCCGTAAGTGCCAGCTCATTATCCCTTTCCTTCTTCTAAAGCTGAGTAAAGCAGACCCCAAGTACAAGGATCAATCCGCCCGCTTGAGGCTTTCCAAACAGATCAGGCAGTTAGGTCACTTGGCTCAGAAACCCTTGCCTTACCGCTTATCTCAAAGCACATTCCCTGCATAGGGGTGGGAGACCTTTTAAAATGTAAAAGTTCCTAATTAGGGTGGAGTCCCAATCCGAACTAAACTGAGAAAGCGTTCCCCCAGGCCAGGGCGCCCAGGCCCGGCCCAGTCCTCCTGGGCGTTTACCTCCCCTCTCCCCTTGGCCCTCGGCCCTCTCCCCATCCTCCTGCAGCCCACGGGACCTCTTTCACTTCCTCCAGCCAGCCAGCCTGTGCTGCTGCACACGCGGTTCACTCTCCACCCGCCTGCAGGCCAGGGCCTCCGCAGCACTTCCTCAGGGAAGGCTTCCCGTGCCCCCGACTCAAATCAGTCCTTTCCTTCCTCCTACTCACCACAGTTTGAAATTATTAGTTTACCACTTCCTTAAAAGTTTTATTCCAAAGACACCATCTGGGGGTAAAGGTGGAGCTCAGTGGTGGAGCACTTGCCTACCATATGCCAGGTTAAAAAAAAAAAAAAAAAAGGCTTTTGTAGGGACCCTTCCCAGGCTACTCTAACATAAGTTCAACCCCCACTCCTGATAGCTCAGATGCTCTGTATTTTCCTTTTCCTTTTTAGCATTGAACACTTACCATATTTTAATTGTATATTTTATTGCTTTCACACATACACAGTATGATGAAAACTCAGTAAGGGCATTATTTTGTTTGACTTTGTTTGCTGTACTGAGGGTTCAACTCTGGGTGTCAAGAATGCCAGACAAGTGCTCTACCACTAAGGTTAAATCCCCAGTGCCTACCACCCCCCTTTGTTTTTTATATTTTATTTTTTGGGCAAGATCTTGCTAAATTGCCCAGGTTGGTCTCCAATTAGAGATCTTCTTGCCTCAGCCTCCTGCATGCTGTAATTACAGGCATGCACCACCATGCCCGGGGTAAGCCCAGTTATTTTTGCTTGCTTTGTTCACTGAATCTAAAATGAATGCCTGGAATTTATTTGTTGATAAATGTTTGTTGTTGAATGAATTTTCTTTAATATTTGATTCCCACCCCCCACACCCCCCCCACCCCCCGGCTAAGGGCACCAACACTTAAAATGTGATGTCTTTCTAGTTTGCCACTGTATCCCCCAACACTTAGCTCAGTCATGGACATATAGTAAGTGCTCACTAAAAATGTACAGTCAGGCATAGTGGCAACAGCTGTAGTCCCAGTTAGTCAGGAGGCTGAGGTAGCAGGATCACTTGAGATCAGAAGTTGGAGGCCAGCCTGGGCAACATATCCAGACCTGGCATCCAAAAAAGAAAAAAAAGAAAAAAAGAAAGAAAAGCCATAACCAGTGGAAAAACTGAAAAACTATCAAAATAGGTGCGGGAGGACCAGGTTTCCTCCTCTTACTGCACTGCCTGAGGAACCTGTGGGGTCTAGGAAGGAGATCTCTGAAATCCCACTGAGCACCCCCAAGGTCGGGTATCCACCTGTCTGCATCCTCTGCGCCCCACCACGGTGTGCACATCTGAGTCCAGCGCCACCCAGGCCCTATTAGCCCCGGGCTGCACCAAGTGGGCAAACCTCAGGCCAGATACCTGTTACCCAGAGTCCTGCGTCCATGCTGCCAGTCCTATCAGGCCAGCCCCGACACCAAACATGCTTCCCGGGGTGGGCAGGTGGGTTTACGTTGATCCAGCCTGATCCCACCTCTGACCTACTCCCACACTTTAAACAACAACAACAAAAAAAATAGTTAAAAACCCCCAACAACTCCAACAACCCTGCGGTTCTCCGGAGCAGGCGAACCTAAGGTCATGGGGACCCCTCCCCCTCGTAAATGCCTATCCAGGCCAGGAGGCCATCTGTCCCGAAGACGCTGCCCGGCCCTCCCCGGTCACACGGCTCCCCTCCCCGGGCGGGCGGCAGGAGGAGTCCCCGCGGGGACAGAGCCCACCCCACGCGCGGGCCTGGCGGCGCCGGCCCCGGAACCCCAACTGGGGCGCGGGATACCTGTCTGCGGGGGGCCGGTCCCCG